TTGCCCTCCTTGTCGCGGTGTGCAGGCGAGCCCCGGAGCCAGCCCGGCGCGCTCGAGAGGTCACCCTCGGGCGAGTAGATGAGCGACTTGCTGACGCCGTCGAAGACGCTCGCTCCCTTCTTCTGCGCCTCGAGGAGGCCCTTTGGTCCGGAGTAGGCGGCGACGGCGCGCGAGGGCTCGTCGTTCTGGCAGATGTCGTCCGCAAAACCGATGAGACGCATGCTCGGGTTGTCACGTTGGACTTCGTGGCAGATGTCATGGAGGAAGCAGACGCTGAGGATGGTGGACAGCGCGCGTCCCTGGATGACCCCGCAGGCGGACCTGGCGTAGTTGGGGTCGTTGTAGTCGGGGCACTCGAGGCTGAGTGGGTCCCAATCGGCGGCGGAGAGGTCCAGGTCGTCGCCGTCGGCGGAAGGCAGCCGCAAGGCCCCCTCGGCCTTGACAAGGCGGATGAAGCTGGGCGTGCCCATGATGAGGCGAGCGACGGGTAGGAGGTCAGGGCGTCGCTTGCGGATCCAGTCGAGGAGCTTGACGCGCCCACAGCCGTTGGGGTCAGGCTTGTTGTCGGCCGTGAGCGCCTGGGCGATCGTGTTGTAGAAGTTCTCCTTGTCGCCCGAGATGGTCGCGTTCTCCGGCTTCGTGCCGTGCCACCCCGCGACGGTGTGGGCGTACAGGTGAGTGCCGTTCTTGGAGAACGCATAGTTCTTCGGGAAGTTGACTGGCGCACGGGCGCGCTCCTCCGCAGCCTCGGCCGCCTCGAGGTCGGCGAGGGCGGCCGTTGCCTCGGCCGAGCCGTGTCCGTGCGTGATGCACCTCGAAGTGTACGCGGCTTCCGCAGTGGCGGTGGTGACGGTGGCGTCCTCGAGTGCCTCCGCCCTGGCCTTGGCAACCTCAGGCAGCTGTGTGGTACAGAACTGCTCCGCCCAGTCGCGCTCCTGGAGCGCGATGCACCGTTCAGCTGAGCGCGTGAAGATGCTGCAGAGCCCGAGGGGCCGGCAGCTGACGCCATCGTCCTTCCAGAGGCAGACGGCGTTGAGGTCGTCCTCAAGCCGCTTGAGACGCTCGTGCATGACACCCCAGCCAACGGAGGTGCAGAAGTTGAAGAGGCAGTCCGCCCCGTCGGTCGACTCGGTGATGATGCGGACGAGCTCGTAGTCGACTTGGGTCGGGCCGCCCTTGCGGGCGCGAGGCAAAGACTTTGCGAACTTGTTGAAGAACTTCCTCTTCAGTTCATACCGCGCGACGCCCGGTTCGTCGGCGGTGACACTGGCAGGCGGGGCCCGCGCTTGTGGCGTCTTGCCGAGGTAGTTGGCGACAACCTTGGGGTCGCGGCCGTCGGCGGGCGCGGAGGGCGAGAAGGCCGCCCACGCCTTGCCGAACTCGCCCCGGTTCGCGTAGTAGTGGGCCCTCTTGACCATCTGTTCCATGGAAGGCTGCGAGGGGCCCGGCGAGTCGGCAGCGTCGCCCTGCTCCAGTGGGGTGGGCGGGACGGAGGCGGAGAGCGCCAGCTCTTTCCAGAGGGCCAGGAAGCCGTCGGGCGAGTGGGCGATGGTTGCGGCGCGCTCGACCATCTGGTCGGTCGTGTAGCGCGGCGAGCCGCTCGGCCGGCAGGTGACGAGGATCGTCGACGCGACGACGAAGATGGCACCTCGGGCGCCGTCTTCGGTGCCGGGCGCGTTGGGGTTGCCGCCGAAGGCCTTCATCCCGAACTCGAGCACTGAGCGGATCTTTGCACGGTACTCCTTGTTGTCGGGGAAGTCTTGGCTCTGCAGGTGGAGACGCTTGAGGCACTCGATCGAGACGCTGTCGCAGATGGAGAGATCGTAGTCTGCGGCGGGCGTAGTGTTGAGATTGATCGTGTCGGCCACCCCCGAGGGGGAGTTCCAAGCGAGCGAGACGCCGGTGGCGTTGCGGAGGGCGGCAACAGCAGCTGCAGAGGACGCAGCGGCGCCCGGGACGGCGGGCGCCCACGCGAGCCGCCGGGTGCGAGTGGCAGCCGAGACGCCACGGTTGTCAGCGTGGGTCAGGTTGGCGCCCGGTGTGCCCGGCGCCGCGTGCTGCAGTGCCTTGGCGATGGCGTCGGTGCACTCGGCCTTCGGCGTGATCTTCTCCTTGTGGGCTTTGTGCAGCGGGTCGTTGCGAGACGAGAGGTGGTTGAAGAACATGCTCGTCCCGTTGCCACCAGAGCCATCCGGAAGTTTGTTGGGGATGAGGCAGCAAATCTGGGCGCAGCACTCGCACTTGGTGAGCCCACTGGAGGCGAGGTCCACGGGCGTGTAGTTGTGCGTCTTGAAGTGCGTGCAGAGCGACTTGGCTGTCTTGAAGTCTCGGGCGCAGATGGAGCAAGAGAAGGTTTGGCGAGGTGGGTTGGTGTTGGAGCTGCTGGCGGCTTGCGATCCCCCCGCCTGCTCCGCCACGTTCCCCTCCTCGCTCTCTCCTCCGACGTCCTCGTCGGACGGTTCTTCGTCGTCGTCGTGGCCACTGTAAGGCGGCGGGGGCTTGCTTCCATCGCGGCGCTTGAGGCGCTGGGAGATGGGCCCCTCGTCGATGTCGACGTCGCCCTCCGAGGTGGACTCATCCGTCGTGGTGTCGACATGCTCTGGAGGCGCAGGAAGGGCGTCTAGGAAGGCCGCACCGGCGTCTGCCGGATCGGCGTCGGCGCCGTCGTCCGCCGGGGCGATGGCGGGTTCGTGGTCGTCGCCCGTGCCCTGCTCGCCGTCGTCGGACGCCTGTCCTTGCGGTGGCGGCGGTGGCGATGGCGGCGGCGAGATCGAGCCACCTGGATCCGGTCCGGACTCGGGCGGCGGCGGCGGTGGCGGCGAGTCTGCGGCGTTGAGCTCTAGTACTTCGCGCTCGGCGTCGGCGAGGCGTTGTCCGGCGGCGAGGGCTTCGTCGTCGGTCGTCGCCTCGTCGAGGGCAGACGATGCGTTGTGCTTCTTAGCAAGGGCTTCCTCCTCCGCCGCCTTGTCGAGGGCAGTCGATGCGGCGCGCTTCTTGTCACGCTTCTTGCCAGCGGTGGCGTCGGCGTAGGACAAAGGGTCCGACGTGCCGTCGTGGTGTGTCTTCAGCACCTTGGACGAGCCCTTGGGATCGCCCGCACCTCCGAAGGTCGTCCGCGCTTTGCCGCTGGGCGGGGAGGCGTCGCCCTTGGCAGCAGCGTCCGCGAGTGGTGAGCGAGGGCGGACGAGCGAGCCAGATTCTTGTGTCGGTGCCGGGCGGACGACGCCGAAGTAAGTCGGGGCGAAGAGGTTGGCCGGGAACGCGTCGCCGCCGGGGGGTGGCGGTGGGGAGGGCGGCGCTGGCGGCGGCGGCGAGGGAGGAGGAGGAGGGGGCGGCGAGGGGGGCGGTGGTGGCGGCGGTGGCGGTGGCGACGACGGTGGCACCGGCGGCGGCGACGGCGGGGCCGATGCTGTCTGGCAGTCGAGAGGCGGTTCGAACCGGCGCTTGCGCCTCGGCGGCCGGTCGATGGGGGAGGATGTCGATGGATCGAGCTCTTCGATGCTGGCGCCGTCGCCGGGCGAGGTCGAGGGCGATGCAGCCGACGATGACGCAGTGGCGCCGTTGCCGGTTGCCGTCGAGGACGACGCAGCAGATGACGACGCAGCGGCGCCGTTGCCGTTGCCTGGCTGGGCGTAGGTGGTGATCGTGCCGGGGCTCAGGACGACGGGTTGGAGAAGGACGCCGGGATGGGCTGGCGTTGCCTCCCCTTCAAACGGGTACCAGAAGTCGAGTAGGATCTGGGTCGAGGTCGGGATTGGGTAGTGCACGTTGATGTGGTCGAGCGCCTCTTGGATGTCGCGGTACTTCTTGTGGCGCGCCCTCGAGCCCCCGACGGCGCCGTGCGCTGCGCAGAGGTCCCACGTGGAAAAGACGCCCCAACCAGACCCTGGAACGTAGAGCGCGTAGTACCAAGGCTTGGGCGCGGCGGAGACGCTGTGTAAAATGAACAGGGAAGCGAAAATGCCGTTTTTGGTGTAAGCCGCCATGAGGCCGGCGAGTAAGAGATCTCCCGGGAGCTTTGCCATCACCAGTCCCAGCGGGTCGGAGAGGTCCCAGAGGCCGCCCGCCGACGAGGTGTCGCGCGAGAAGAGACTGGTGATGGTCTCGTTTGCGGGCGTGCCGCCAACGAAGATGTCCATGTCGGAGTTGTTGGGGACGGGCGACGCCAGAACGGCGCCTCCTCGTCCTGGTGCTCGACTGCCTTCGGTACCTGTCGACCAGGGTCCCGGCAGGAGCGAGTCGTCGGACGGGTAGAAGATGCGCTCGGAGTCAATGGACTTGTACAACTCGTGGCTCCGAGAGGGCCGCACCTCGCACAACCCAACCAGGCCCCCGCCCAGCGGGGTAGTTTCCTGGCTACTGGTCGGGCTGTGGTTGGTGCGGTTGGCTCCGGCTCTGCCAGTCGTCGAGGGCAATGGGCAAGACGGTTGTGCCGCCCCCGCCCCCTCATCCGAGGGGACCCCACCGGCGTTGTGGACACTGTGAGGGACAGGCTGCCTTGTGGCTGCCTTTGGTCCAGCACAGAGCCATTCTGCACGGTGCCAGGTGGGTGGGACGGTCGAGGTAGTCGGCGCCGGACCTGTGCAGCGGGTAGAAAACACGCTAGACACGCTAGGCACACTAGACTCGTCACGCGACACAGACACAAAAGACAGGACACGAGACGAGGTAGCCTCGGCAGCAGCCGTGGCAGCAGCCGTGGCAGCAGCCGTGGCGGCAGTCGTGGCGACAGCCGTGGCGGAAGCCGTGGCGGAAGCCGTGGCGGAAGCCGTGGCGACAGCCGTGGCGACAGCCGTGGCGGAAGCCGTGGCGGAAGCCGTGGCGGAAGCCGTGGCGGAAGCCGTGGCGGAAGCCGTGGCGGAAGCCGTGGCGGAAGCCGTGGCGGAAGCCGTGGCGGAAGCCGTGGCGGAAGCCGTGGCGGAAGCCGTGGCGGAAGCCGTGGCGGAATCCACGGGGCGCAGAGCACGCGTGCTCTGCGCGAGTGCGAGCGCAGGATCGCTCAGGATCAGCAGCACGGCGGCCGCGAGCCGAAGAGGCCCGACAGCCGACATGCCAGCTGAAGTAAGGAGTTTGTTGTTAACCTCACGTCCAGGAAGGACCGGGGAGCTGAGAAGCGCACCCAGTTGGCCGGACGCTCGGCATCGGGCTACGGGCTAGAGAGCCCTGACCCCTAGCTAGGGGGGGTGCGCATTCGCAGGGCCATAACACGTCTCCGAGGGATGGCTCAGATCGAACTCTTCTTCTAAAAAGAAATTAGAAATCACATCACGCATTGCAGCCGCTCTATCGGACGCTGCTCCTTCCTCATGGAGTCGGGCCAGGTGCTGCTATCCATATCGTTCGCGACGGCTCGGGCATGCCTCGACGTGTGCGCTCAACACGGGACGCGACTCGCATGCGTATCGGACCTGAGGCACCGGTCGACGGCTTCTCCGTTGCCAGGTGCCACTGCGTCTGCAGGATGGACGGGCAACTACCGCTGGCCTCCGAGTGCAAGCCCCGATGGTATCGATTCTTGGGCTCACTGCTCAAGCTCCGGGCACTCTGAAACAGTAGGGACCCTCTGGGCGCGCGGTGAACCTTCTGGACTGTCGCACGATGGGTATTCTGCTTCGTGTGTTTCGATGACGAGCGACGGCTTGGCCAGCCTCGCATGCCAATCGCTCAGGCAGTGCCTCTGCACGGCCAGCAATGAAACCGAGGCAGTGGGCTCGGACCTCCCAAAGTCACGTCTGCGAACGCTGGAGGCCAGCGAGGCGGCTGTGCGGTGGCAGGCGTGGCTCCCTGGCCTGTGGGCGATTCTCCTCGTCGCCTCGCTCCCACCGGCAGTCGTGGTGGGATGGCTGCTTGCTGGACATCTCAAGCGGAGCCTATCGAAACCGGCGACGCCTCCGCCGCTCAGGGGCACAGAAGCCGACACGGACGAACTCAGTGGCGTACGACAGCGGCTGACGGTGGCGGTGCAAGTCGATGCGGCAGTGGCTGCCCGGGTCTCATACGGCACAGTCGCTCTCGGCTGGTGGATGTTTATCGTCGCGTGGGGACCTCAGCCGTGGGTGATGGTCACTGGTCTCGACTTGGCGGGCGTATTCGGCGACGCGGTGTGGGTGGAAGGTCTCTTCACAGCGCTCGGCCCGACGCTCATCGGCCTCTCTGTCCGACCGACGGATCGAGTGGGAGTGAGGCTCACGGGCGGCCTCTTTGCCTTCTCATACCTCCTCCTCGCGGCGACCGACTTGCTACCCGTGTCCCGCGCCCGGGCCGCGTTTGACCACGGCGAGACGATGCCGCCCTATGTCCAAGTTGAGCCTCCGCCCCGCAGCGAGTGGGTCTTGGTGCTCGCAGCCCTCTCGCTCGCGCAAGCCGCGAGTGAGCTCGCCGCTGCCGCAGCCTTCGCCACCTCCTTCTGCCTGGAGCCGCGCGCCGCCCTCGGTCGAATCTGGACGGCTCTCCGCGGGGTATGTTTCGCTCTCTCCGTCGTCCTGCCGCTGCAGCTGATTGCCGCGCTACAAGTGGACCCCTCCTTCACTACCCGCCTGACGTTCCCGCTGCGCGTCAGCGCGGCAGCAGCCTCCTTCGCCTGCGCGCTTGGCCTGTCGCCTCTGGTCCGCCGGCGCCTCCACGCGTGCCTCGGCTCGTTCTGCTTGAAGGACGAGGTCCGATCGCTCGCCGCGGTCGGCGCCCTGATGGGCGGCCGGCGGCCAGACGACGCCTGCGCCGCGGCATGCCGGTCTTTCCGCCTCTTGCCGTGGCGCGCGCTCACCGCCGAGGACTGCGCGAGCAGTGCCGACTCCGGGCTGCACGAGCGGACAGAGCCGGCCAAAGTCGGCTGTGTCGACGCGTTCGTGAGTCACTCGTGGTCCGACGACGGGCAGGAAAAGTACGAGGCGCTCGCCTCGTGGGCGCGCGCGTTTGAGCACGAGGTCTGCCGGCCGCCGACGCTGTGGCTCGACAAGGCGTGCATCAACCAGAGCAATGTCGACGCGTCGCTCGCCGGGCTTCCCGTCTACCTGGCGGGCTGCCGCAAGCTGGTCGTGCTCGCGGGGCCGTCTTACTCTTCGCGCCTCTGGTGCGTGCCGTCGTTGTCTGGCTGCAGATGGCGCTCTTCACTCTTGTGGTTCTAAATAGGTGCGCCATGGAGATCTTTGTCTGGCTGCAGATGGGTCGGGGAAAGTCGGACGTGACGGTTGTGCCCTTTGGAGACCACGGCCACGCCAGAGGCAGCACAAAGGAGAAGCGGCTCGGCGCAAGACGCCGCGACCAATTCTCGCGCTTCGAACTCGCGCACGCACGCTGTGCTGTTCGGTGCGACACGCACCGGCTCCTCGCCGTCATCGAGGCGGCCTTCGGCTCACACGCCCCATTTAACACTCTCATGCGGTCCATCCTCTCCGAGCGGGTCTTTGTTGGCGCTTGCGGAGAGCTGCTTTCGCGCCGGCCTGCCTCGCTGGTGGTGGTGGGTGCCGAGGTGTAATATAGCTAATTTAGACCGGACCCTACGCGCTACGGCTTTAGACGCTGAGTAGAGAAGTTTAAGGTACACTCTTCCACTCTCGCGACTCCACGTCCACGTCTCAAGAGGTGTAATTTATGAGGGTGTACAATATATGTCCATAAACAAGAAAACCGGACACCTGTCCTCCTCTCACTACGAAGGCGCGGCCCGGCGGCCGCGGCGGAGGCGAGGCAGCCCGCACCACTCCCACCGTCCCAGGCCCCGAAGCCGAACCCACACGGGCGTACGTATAGTGACAAGAAACTGACGCACGCGCCCCATTCACGGAACGCTCTTTCTGTGCGCACTGCATCCCCGGGGTGTGCACAGGACAGGACAGTCTCAACCGAGCCGTCGCGGCAGGCGATGGTCCGGCGCACTGCTAGCTCACCACCTCCCTGTCAATCAGAGCTAGCTAGCCGTCTCTGCACATCCTTATGCAGCTCCGCGACCGTCGCCCGCACCGCAGCCCTAACACGCAGCTCCGCGACGCTCGCGCGCATCGCGGCCTTCACATCAGCCATGCCATCAGCTCTGCGAGAGCGCTCGTCGTGGGCGGCCTCGGCTCCCTCACCTGATACGAGAACGAGTTCGCACAAGTCAGTGGCGGTGAGCGACCACATGGGCCGCCTCGGCAACCCCTTTGCGGCCCTCGCAGCGGGTGGACGCCGCCGAGGCGCTCCGCCCTGCCAGGCGGTCAGTTGAGCAGCATGGCACGGTCAGCAGCGCCGAAAGGATGTCGCAAGGCGTGATAGCATGGCCGCAAGTTCCAAGTACGCCGAATTCCCATGAAAACAAGTAAAAAATCGCGCGAAAAAAGAAATCATGCCAAAAAATCGGCGCCTGCGGCGGGCTGGGGGACCCCATCTCCCCCCCGCATGGGTACCCCCTACAGTAGGGCCCTCGCCTCCCCCCAGAGATTTTATACTTGTTTTCTGTTTTTCAAAACGCCCGCCCCGCGCCCGCCGGCCGCCGCCAGCGCCACCCCGAGGCGGCTCGGCCCCCCACACATTTAACGTCGTGCGGCCGTGGCGGCACGATCAAGCCAAGGGCGGATCAAGAGAATTGAGCATGCAGAACACTCTCACACACCGACGCTGGTCGTCGAGCTGTGCGTGTCGGACGTGTGCTCAGACACCGAGCCACGGGGCCGACAATCACCGCAACCACACCCCGGAGAGAGTAAGGGAGGTAGAGAGGAAGAGGGCGCTGCGCGCTCGCTTGAGGGCTACGACTAGTGGAGGAGCTCACTTTGCGAGGATAGCGGCGATGGTGGCAGAGACGGAGTCGGCCTTGCGGTCGGCGTCGACCGGCGAGTACAGGCCCTGCTTTGCGTAGTAGTCGACGACGGGCTTCGTCTGCTTGTGGAAGGCGTCGAGCCGCTTCGTCAGCGTCTCCTCGTTGTCGTCCTTGCGCTTGACCAGCGGCTCTCCCGTCTCGTCGTCCTTGCCCGCAACCTTGGGCGGGTGGAACTTTTCGTGGTAGCTGCGGCCTGCAGACGCGTGGCGGGAGGGCGGCGTCAGGCAGGGTGCAGGGCTCACCGGCGTCGCGGGTGCCACCAACTCTCTCGCCACGTCTCGGATGGGGCACGTCTCGGATGCGTCTTTGCCGTGCTTCGGCTGTGTCTCGGAACTGCTTCGGCCGTGTCTCGCCCATGTCTCGCCCGTGTCTCGGAAGTGTCTCGGAAGTGTCGCTCGCCAGACGCCGGGTGGATGAGCCGGCCGCAGATGCGCTCGACGAGCGTCGCATCGGGCACCTTCGAGGCACCGACCATGCGGTCGACGAGCCGAGACGGGCCGAGACGGGCCGAGACGGGCCGAGATGAGCCGTGGGCTCGCCTTGAACTCGATGACGTGGTCGATGTGGCCGACGCCCTCCGAGGTCAGCATCCCATCCAGCTTCTCCGCTTGCACCACCGTGCGCGGGAAGCCGTCCAGGATGAAGCCGTTGCCGCAGTCGGGCGTCGAGATGTTGTCTTTGATGATGCCAATCACCTGCGATTGGGGCGGCGGCAGGTGGGCGGCGGGCGCAAAGAGCAGGGACGCGTGTGGTGGGAGAGAGCAGAGAGGGCTGGCCGGTGCACGGTGCACGCGGCTCGCGCAATATTCGTCCGACACGAGGCCGATGATCTCGGCCGATCTCGGCCTAATCACGGCTAACTCTCGCACAATCTCATCCGAGACGAGGCCGCCCTTCTCCATAACCTCCTTGGCCGCCTTCCCCATCTCCGTCCCTGCGCGCGCACAGACGAGCGGCGTCCGTCGGCCGCCGCAACGCCCCGCGCGGTGTGTGCCCAGGTCTGTGGAGAGGCGCGGTGCGCAGAGGCGCCGCCAGCGGCCGTGTGCAGCGCCGCTTTCGCGCGCTCCCATGGGTGGTTGAGCAGTACGCGCGTTCGCGGCGCGACAAGCCGGACGCCCAGCCCCTCGGGTCCGCAGCGCGACTCGCGCCGGTGTGTGGCTCGTGCGGGCGCGCAGAGGCTGCGCCGGGTGCCCAAGCCTCAAGAAGGGGCACTGCGCACCAGCAGCGACAGCGGCGCGTAGCAAATCGCCGGTCGCGAGGTGGCACAGCTTGTACTTGTCCTTTATCAGCGGCGCCTGCCGAAGAGCCGCGGCAGTGTGAGCCTCTCCGCAGCGGCCGGGGCTGGAGCGCGGAGTCGGCGGCCCTCGCAGCGGTGGAATATAGGAGCAGCAGCGGTGTCTGGGTCTGGTTCAGCAGTGCTGCTGACGCGCCTGCGTCCCCTTGCCGCTGCCGGGCGGCCCCACGAGGATGATGTTCTTCTTCGGAGGCGACTGCGGACGTGCGGGCACAGAGCGCTCTGAGAAGCGCTCCGCACTGAGACAGCAGAGCTGCTAGAGACGGCGGAGCGTGCAGAGCGCTGCGCTGGGGTGACGCGCCTCCATCCTGCGCTTCAGCTCGGCCAGCAGGTCGGTGGTGGACGCCCTCGCGAGATCGGCGGGCATGCTGCTGCGGCTGCGAGGGGTGCGGAAACGAGCTCTGAGGTTGTGCTGAACACAGGCCAGGCCGAAGCGTGTCTGTGCTGTCAGACAACGATGCAGCCGCTCGCGTCGCGTGCGTTGGCAAGAGTGCGGAGCCGAACGGTGCGGCGCGCGCGCAGAGGCGGTGTGTTGCGCTGGGAGGAGACGCGCGTGGTTTGGGTTGGTGAGGTGTGAATTGGGTCGGTGCCTTCGCGTCGCAGGGCAAAATGCGCCTTCCGAGTCGGCTCAAAAAGAATTTTTACGCGACTCGTTTTATTTATTAGAAGGTTGCAGGTTGCTTAAAATCCCTGTGTGGTGGCGGCGTGCCGTCCTCCCATCCCTCCCTTGGGTTGTCTGTTTTCTTTCTTTCTTTCTTTAGAAGGTTGCAGCTGCGCCGAAAGGCGAAAGAAGCCGCGAGAACAAGGGACCGGCAGGCGGCAGCGGCGTCGCAGAACGAGACAGAGGAGAGCGACGCGACAGAGGAAGAAGCGACAAGAGGGAGAGCACGACGAGAAGGGGGCGACCGCGAGGTGGCACGAAGGTTGCAGCGAGAAGCGGCGAGAGACTGCGAAGAGAGATAGGAAGAGGCGGACGCCCAAGGGTGGGCGACGGCTAGCGCACCACACCCCTCTTCTTAAAATCCCTGTGTGGTGGCGGCGTGCCGTTCTCCCATCCCTCCTTTGGGTTGTCTGTTTTCTTTCTTTTTTTTTTAGAAGAGTCGTCCTTGCGAGAGAGATTTTTAGAAGCCAACAAGAAATGTGGCACACACAGTGATTTGGGCTCGGCAGCTTGTCGACCACCAACCAGCCGAAGCCGGAGTCGGAACCGTAGCCGAGATGGTCGTCGAGGGAGTCGAAAATGTCATTCGCCTCGCTAGTAGAGCCGGAGCCGCATGAGTCTTGGTCGGAGGAGGAGTCGTGGAGGAGGAGGAGTCACCAGCCGACTTTATCTGCCCGATCACGACCGAGGTGATGAGCGACCCGGTGATGGCGGCGGACGGGCATGCTTACGAGCGGACGGGCGATCGAGCGCTGGCTCGCGACCAAGTCGACGAGCCCGATGACAGGCGAGGCGCTCGAGTACACAGGGCTCTTCGCTCGCACCACATGCTGCGCAGGCAGATCCGAGAGTGGGAAGAGGCGCATGCAGGACGGTTGGTTTGTGTTTTTTTGTGGAGGAGGAGGGTTTCGAGTGGAGAGGGGAGGGCTGGAGGACGAGGCGACCGCGCGCGCGCAGCAAAGGAGCAGGCGCCTCCTCGAATCTGACGGCGACTCTCCGCCGAGTCGCGAGTGTGAGGAGCAGCCCGGCGCGTGCGTTTTCTTTCTTCTTCTGTCGGAAATCGCAAAACAAAAACAACCCTGTCTGCACGTCTCGCGCGCGCGCGTGAACAGGGCTCCAGGCCCCAAATGACGTGTGAGTGTTAGAGTTGTTTGGTATTGCTAAAAATCTCTCGGAAATCGCCGCCCTCTCAACGCTTGGGCTTGCGTGTCCCGGTGGTGCTCGCAAAGCCATCCGCCTCCCCACGTTTTTCTCACATGGCCGAGCGTTTTTAATCTCTCGGTGTCAGTGGGCGCCCGCCCGCCGCCTCTGTGAGGCAAAGGGCAGGGGGGCATCGGAGGAGAGAATGAGGCAAGAGCGGCGGCCGAGTGACGGGAATGCGCACGCGTGGCGCGCACCCGGGGAGAGCAAGCAAGATGGGGCTCGGCGGCGCCCACTTCTCGACGTAGGGTTCGGCCAACTTGTGTGTAGGGTAACCCTTAGCCGGGTTAGTGTGGCTCAACCCGGATCCCGGTGGAACCCCGCTGAAGTTTCTCACCCTAGGAAGCCGCGGATACATGATCAAAATCAGGCGGCACACGATGGCTCATCAAGAAGTGATACAGTGGGTTGCTTGCGGGCATTAAGAAAACAGGGAAATTCCGTTTAGGTTGCCGGACGGAGCACCTCCAACTCCTCCTCTGAGTCAGACACGCCAACGTCGACTGCGCCCTCCTCCTCCCATCCGTCGACTGCGCCGCTCGAGCCAGCCGAGCGAGTAGATGGAAGTGAATCTGCCCCCTCCCTGGGAAATCTCCAGGATTTACCTCCCCACACTAGTCGCAAGCAAACCCCGACACCAGGATTCTCCCCCCCCCCCCCCCTCCC